GGTCATTCGTGTTATGTAATTTGAACTCTGTAATTTGTCATTTAAGGAAGATATTTAAATTAGGACTTTAAGGAATATGTTCTATTAAAAAAAGGCACTTCATTAATTCTAACTTTATTATTTACACAGTGTCGAGAAAATTAACAAGATGAAGAGCTGAAATGAAGAATTGAGAGTTAGCTTACATATGTTAAATTCTTTTTTTAATAATAATTTTGATTCATTATACCAATTCCAAAAAGATTGAATGTTTTAAATAAGACAAAGCAACTAATACACACACACAAAAAATCCATAGTATTCCTAATTGCTAATACTTGCTTATTTTGTGCTTTTGTTTTAAAAAAATGATGTAATTTCCTGGAGAATGATGTCATAAAGGAATTGGCAAAAACATGTTTTGTTTGCAACATTTTGAATGGAGAAAGAAAAAAAATAAGGAAACCCCTGAAATGTTTCTTAATTACCATTTTATCATTGTAGATGTTTTACTTAAAATTATATATGAAACTATATATGAATTTTACTAAATTAACTAAAAAGATATATATGTATGTCTTTTTAGTTAATTAAATGATTATATTATGAACTTGTTTCAATGAACCACAACAGTAGGGTTTTTTTAACTTTGGGTACTCAAATAATAAGAGCAAGTTATTAATTTCTGAACAAGCACTTAGCAGTTTATGTATCAGCTACCAGCGATGCCAGCCATATGATAAGTGATATTTAAAAAGGTCTGCAGTCAACTTTTTGCAGCTCTGAGTGGAGATAATTTTGGGACCAGTATTTAGTGCTCAACACTTTGGCGTGAAGTGCACACTGAAGTGTGTGGGTGTCTGCTTTCATTTTCTTATATATTCTGTGATTTTGTGCCGTGGGTGAAGGCCAGATGTCTAATCATTGGCCTTGTTGTTTGTGTCTCTTGGTTGAAGATGTCTAAATCTTTAGCGTTGTGTCATCACGCACTGTAACCTGCCCTTGATCACTTAGCCTCAGTCAATGTCATAAGCCATTTAGTTGCATTAGAATCAGTCAAAAACAGATTCTCAAGTGAATTTTATTAGATTCACTCTGTGAGGGCCAGGGTTACAAAAACAGTTTACAAAGATGATTCTTAAAGTGCATCTGGCTCAAAAAAAATATATATATATATATATATATATATATATATATATATTCATGCAGTCGCATTTCTCAAACAGAATTGATTCATTAGCTTTCAAATAGAGTTAAACTATATTTATAGGGTGGTGGATAATTTGTGTTAATAAATATAGACTGCATGAATAAATGTATATCTTTATTCATTAGCTTTCGAATAGAGTTAAACTATATTTACTTTCTTTTTCTTTTACAGATGATGATCATGATGGGAATTATTGGGGTCATCTTGATGGGCATTGTTTTCAGTGAGTAGAAACTATCATTTAATTTCACAAACACTAGTCAGTGTTGGTTGATTTACTTGTAAATCACAGTAAAAATAAAACGTTAGTATTTATTTCATTTTATTCCCAGCATAGGATGTTTTGCCACCTTGCAGTGAATTTTAGTCATATAAAGGCATACATGTAATGATATAGATAAGAAAAACAAATCTTGTATTGCAGCTGCTATTTAAATACTGATAATAGAATAGCTGCTTTTACTAAGCAAACTAAGATCTAGTTGATTTATGCATCAAATTTAAAAGCTGAATTTATTCTTGAATCAGCATGGACTAATCAATTGCAATAATTTATTTATATTTTCTTGTCTTTTACGACAGTGTACTTCTACTACTGAGCCTCTCGTGGGACGCACAAGGACAGGAGACTCAGGCTTTGTGTGAACTCCACCCCTTTTCTCCCCACCAATGCCTTTCATTGAATCCAGTGTGTGTGTGTGTGTGTGTGCAGTCATTGACGCAGTGCCTCTCCTTCCCTTTGTCTGTCACTGCATTTCTTTGTACCTCTCTTGAGCGCTTTGCAACAGTGCCCGAGCTTACTCAACTCCTTCGGTTAGGAATATCTACTCATGTTTTTAGATTAGAGAATGTGTTGGCCCTTTTCAGGTCAAAAAAAAAAAAGTGATGCAATAATATAAGTTTGTAGCGCCGGTCCAAATGAACCCCTGAATAACTAAAGAGGGAAAATGAAACGCAAAGATCAGTTAAGATTGAGTTTAGGATCAAGTCATGCATTTATGCATAGAAGCCAAAGTGTACTATTTTACCCAGAAACAACTGCTGTGGTCTTATCACTACAGTATTAACAAAGTGCACCTGCAATGAAAAATTAGTAGTAAAGTAAAAATTATATACACAATATTTTTTTTTTATTAATTTGATCCCTTCTTCATATATAGATTCCTAGCAGCAACTTGTTTTCACGTCTTAATATGGATCTTTAAAAACCTGAATGATTTTAGAGAGGTAAAGACCATGTGTATTAAATGTCTGATCTAGGATGTTAATTCCTTCTATATCATAATGTAAAACGGTGCAATGTTTATAATTGATTTTAAGAGTTAAAACGTTAAAAAATATATGAGAAAGCTAGTATGATGTTTCACTTCATACTTAAGCATCTGCAGTCGACTTGAGGGGAATCACAAATCGTCACTTTTGCTCTTTGATGTTGTCTTTGACATTAATGTCAGCCAGATCAGTTGAGTTTGGAGGAAAAAACAGGGATGATAAAAGATTTGGCGTGAAATGAAGATTGAATGTTACAGCAGCGACCGCGTTATAAAATATTTTGATTTAAATATTGTTTGCTATTTTTTTGTATTTATGTTCAAGATTATTGTGATGCAATTAAATGCAATTTATTTGATATATTTAATGCCATAAAAAAAAAAAGGTAAAATTAATGGCATTAATCATCATATTAACCCCTTGCACCTCCTGACTTTACTGGCACCATGATGTCTTTGGGCTGAAAGAATAACTACTAATATGCAAACTGAAAGAGAAATTATAATGTTACTAGTTTAATGTATTTGTAAATATTTGGGATTCAGTGTGGGAGCAGATACCTTATAAGCACTGGAGACGACCATGTTCAGGGATGTACCTCTGCATGTGTTTGTTAAATATACATAGGCACTTTAATTACCTTAGTTATAGTGATTGTAAGTTTAACAGGACATTTTTTGGTAATAAGGACATATTGTCCAGCACCTGAAACTATGAGAATTTGCTCTTATAAGATCATCATGTGTAAATAACATCCCCTACATTCAGCATTAACCCAAACTGCAAAGCTAATGTATGGCAGTGAATGTTGTTCCTTAAAAAAAAATTCTATTGCATCTAAATGCATTCCATTCATTTGTAAATATGTGCTGCACAGATGCATAAAATAACAGTTCCTGTCCCTGAGCATTTGGAGCCAAGCTGCTAACTCGTGGTTCATTTTAAAGCATGTCTGCTTGCCCACCATGTGCCGATTCTAATAAAGTGCTGATGCTGTTACTCGCTCCTCCCCTGTGTAGTGGGTTTTTTTTTTTGAGAGGGTGGGGAAACTGAAGCAAAAAGTTTCTTCTGAAATGAGAGTTGCAAGAGTTCCCATCACATGCAACTCTAGTAAAGGAACAGGATAACGAAACTTTGTGAATATGGTATGATTTAATTGGTTATTAATCAGCAACAATGATCATCCAAATCACAAATTGAAATGAATCATACAAAGCGGCGCTACAGAAATGTTTCATACTACAGCACAGATGAGTAACCTAATTAGAAAGCGTGTACATGAAATGCACTTAATGTCTATTGAACCATCATGTCTGAACAGTAACTGTTTTATTAACATGAAAGAACATTTCTAGATGCAAGATCTCAGCTAAAACAATCTGTTTTTAGCATCTACTGGACTGGTACATACAGATTCAAACTAAATCATACATGAAAATTAATCAAGACAAGATCTACGGTTTATAGCAAGAGAAAAGTCTACGCTTTTACACAAACTAAGCAAATCAAGGAGGGGGAAAATAAACCGGTTACATTAGAAAAAGTTCCAAAAGACAGGAGCAACAAGAAAATGTATATAAAAGCCATAAATGATATGAAAATTAAAAAACAGGACCTATGAGCCGTTAACATGAAAGAACATTTCTAGATGCAAGATCTCAGCTAAAACAATCTGTTTTTAGCATCTACTGGACTGGTACATACAGATTCAAACTAAATCATACATGAAAATTAATCAAGACAAGATCTACGTTTATAGCAAGAGAAAAGTCTACGCTTTTACACAAACTAAGCAAATCAAGGAGGGGGGAAAAAAAACGGTTACATTAGAAAAAGTTCCAAAAGACAGGAGCAACAAGAAAATGTATATAAAAGCCATAAATGATATGAAAATAAAAAAACAGGACCTATGAGCCTATTGTAGAAGCAGAATTTGTATGTATTCACATTTTGAAAAACAATGGCATGTCTTAAAAACGAAGTAATCACAATATTTTTGCAAAAATGAGGGGGTGTCTTTAAGCACTCAACACCTATATACGACCGAACTTTCAGACAAAGTTCTGATGATACAAAGCATAAAATAAGACCGTTTCACTATAAAACACTGAACTCGGCGGGACTGATTTTACAGAGTTGAAGTATAAACGAACCGACAATGATAAAAGAAATAAATCTACAGCAAAGACGCACTTAACTCGAAATCCTCGAAAAAGCTGCAGATTTTCACAGCCACTACTACTTCGACTAAAAACCGTCTGGGCGATTTAAATTTTAAAAATTAGCTTTGAGTACTTTAAAATCCTGTGCACACGGACTACTGCACAGGTATGACGATACTACATCAGAAACAGTCTGGTTTGTCAGTTGCTTTGCAATTATTGGCACAGGCCATTTGTAACAAATAAGGTGTGTGCTTAGCATGGTAACGTTTTCAATGGAACCGTCAATTGTGCATCATCTTTTTGGATCCCATGATTTTAACAGGCTACATACTTGTCCTTCTAGTTTGCATGCTTGAAATTATGCAGACAAAATGTTTTTTCCATGCAAAAAAATTTAATAAAATAAAAAAGTCAATTGTGCTCAATCAGACTGTGAGCAAACATTTCGGTTAATGATATTGAAAATAAGAGAGAGAGAGAATACAGTCCGGCATGGTAGGCAACATCAAAAGCACACTTCGTCATATTAAAAAAAAAAAAAAAAATAGCCTATTAAAACCCTTCGAAAAATATACCCACCAATTTTCAATGAAGCCCCTTATCTTTTTATTTCTTTTTTTTGAATTTGCCCACCATCTCGTTCTCACTTGTGTTGTTCACTTTTGAACAATCAATGGCGTTATCTTCCTCTTCTGGGTCTGCGTCGTTCTCGCTCGCCCTGGTATCGTCATCTTCATCATTTGGATTTTGCGACGAATCATCAGAGGTGCGAGATTGTTTGGGAGAGGGTGCATCGGTCTCCTCTTCGTCTTCCTCCGCGGATGCCGAGGGAAGTTTTTCGAGAATGACTGCGAGTCTGACTTTACTTGGACGTCCTCTCTTACGACGCGGAGCGGTGCCATCGGCATTCTCACCTCCCGTCTCTCCACCTTCTGCGGTACAAGCCTTGATTTTGCCAGTACCTGGAGGTCGGCCTCTCTTGCGGGGAGTGTCTCCAACTTTCTTTTCGACAATCTTGACCTTTTTGCCAGAACCTGGAGGTCGTCCCCTCTTGCGAGGAGTTCCGTCGGGGTTTCGTTGAATGACCTTCAGTTTGGTGCCCGAGCCTGGGGGTCGGCCTCTCTTGCGCGGAGATCCGTCAGCCTGCTGAATCTTCTTCACCTTGTTGGGAGAACCCGGAGGGCGGCCTCTCTTTTTTGGGGTTCCATCTGAGGCCCTGGCAAGCTTGGCAACCTTAGTAGAACCTGCGGGCCGACCCCTCTTCCTTTTCAACGAGCCTGCTGGCCTTCCTCTTTTTTGTGGAGGGCCGTTGGCGACATCAATGCTGCTTTCGATGCCATCTTGTTTGGCTCCTCCGCTTTGCGAACCGGATTTTGCTCCATACTTGCGTGGTCTTCCTCTACCTCTTTTTACCTTGGGACCTTCAGCGATGGGATGAATGCGTGGTCTTCCAAGGGGTTTTGACAGTCTCCGCTTGCGTTGTAAACTCAACCTGTGAAGTCTCTCTGATTCTTCCTCAGGCGTGAGCGGGATCTTTCTCGGCCTACCGGGCATTTTGATCTTCTTTGGTCGACCACGTTTCTTCACCTTGGTCTTTATGACTATGTCAGGAGAAAAGAAGTCCACCTTTTTCGAAGGCCTAGCATTGGGTGTCGGTGCTTTCTCGGTAGTGAACTTCTTATTGAGTGACCCTCGTGGTCTGCCTCGTCCACGTTTGGGCGGATGGGTGCTGCCATTGGGCAGAGGGCTCTCGGTTCCTTCTTTATTCTCAACCTCCATCACGTTGCAGATTCTCGCTCACAACTTTAGATGTATCAGTGCCACGCTCGTGTTTGGTGCTGAGAATCTGAAAACAACAAGATGAGGAGAAAAAAGTTTTGAGATGACGATACAAAGCATTATTTGAATTAAGAACTTGAACAGATACCTCATATCGTTTTCCCTCCAAAACCAGAATTTACTATTTTCCACAATAAATTATTTTTGCAAATACGTATGAGCAAAGCTGTTTGCTTACCTTGTATTTTCATGAGGAGGGGGTGTCAAAAAGTCATTCAAAAGTTATGTAAAAAGTTATTCTCAATTTTTTTTTCACTCTCTGGTGTGCAACCTTAATGATCTAACTTTATATTATTTTTTTAATTAAAAATAAAATAATATATATATATTATATTTTACTTATGGAATCTTATGGTGGAAATGTTAAAATGTAAATAATAGTTAAATGTCAAACAAAAACTGTTCAATGAAAGGAAAAAACATCTGAATCTATTTAATGAAACCTCTAATAAATTAATATAAACCAAATTTTAAGCCTAGGTGAAACTATCTATATTGATTTTAATATATTATATATATTTTTTTTTGCCGTTTAGGACTATCGTGTTTAATCATAAATATGAACCATTCAACAACTTCACTGAATCTATTTATGTAGCTCATTCAAAACAGATATAATTTGGGGGTTTTAATTCTTATTATAATTTATTAGGGCTTTCATATTATAATTTTAAAAGAAAAATCTTTGTAAAAAAAATACGATATTAAATTAAAATTACGCAACCGAATTAAACGCCGTTTTTTTCCCAAGAAAGCAAGCGCTAAATCTGTTCATTAATAATAATATATACACGGATATTTAAATATAAAAATGCACTAACTAAAAATAATTTTCATAAGAATGGAGGGGTTATGAGGTGCACTGGTGTTTTTCTTTTTAAATAATTCTGTGAGCAATTTATTTTCAAACAGATCGAATGGATTGAAGCGCTGTTTGGAGACTCGAGACAATAGAAAACCCATCTCTATGACAACAGAAAAGGAATTGGACAGAAGTTCGATAAATATAAAAATGCACTAACTAAAAATAATTTTCATAAGAATGGAGGGGTTATGAGGTGCACTGGTGTTTCTATTTTTAAATAATTCTGTGAGCAATTTATTTTCAAACAGATCGAATGGATTGAAGCGCTGTTTGGAGACTCGAGACAATAGAAAACCCATCTCATTATGACAACAGAAAAGGAATTGGACAGAAGTTCGAGCACGTTGCTAGTCTAACGTTACTTCATGCATGCTTCACGGATGCAAATGGACATCTTTATCACAGCATTGAAGAAAAAAATGCATCGTTTTTTACCGCGAGATCTTACATATTACAAAATATCGACGATAATATTCTACTTGTTTTAATTTTTTATGGAGAAATAACGCAAAATTCGTCAAAATGATTTAAAAATACACACGACTTCATGCAGTATAACATGCATAAAAGAGCGGATGCTTTAGACTGGCTGCCATCATGTACAGTGAAGCCCGCGAGCTTTTGTAGTTCCAGGTAAAATGTGAGGCACTGGCGATTTTTGTTAGCTGCCTGCTAACCCGACTAAGATAACTTTTCAATGGAAAAAGAGACTACTTTCATTCCTTCGACATTAAAAAGCGGCAAATATTCGAAACACAACGCACCTTACTCGCAAAGCGCTTTCACAACAGCAGAGATGATCTTTTTCATGCATTCGACAATATTTTCGATGCAAACAGCATCGGACAGTGGGCGGGCGACTGATTATTTGAAAGGCAATGCCAGTTCTTCCTCGTCTGTCGCTCGGCGTCGACAGTTCCTGTCACAGCGCCACCTACTGGGGTGGAGTGCGCAAACGCGAACCTGAAGAATGGATGCGTGGGTCAAATGAAAAAAGAAATAAACCAGTTATGTGAGTGGATTTATTGTGACAGAGCCAAAACACGCAATTATTGTATAGCCAAAGAACGCAAGAGTATGAGATGGAATATTCCAGTTATGAGCTGCTGAGAAGTACAATTCTAAAAAGTGTAAAAATGGAAAAGACATCACAAGGTTGCATGTTTCATTTAAAGACCTAGGGTATAACTTTAATGACACATAAAATGCCCCTATTGTCTGACAGATACAACTAAGATGGCCTCAGGCCTGAGATATCACATCTATGTCTGAACACAGCTTAAAAAAAAAAAAAAAAAAAAAAAAGGAAGCATTGCCCGCCCTTTTTAGCCAATCAGAAAAGCGTTCTGCTTTTCAATCATTTGCCGCGTTTTGGTTTGCTAACATCCGGTTTGCTGAGCTCTTGGGGGGTGGGATCTCGGAGAGAGGGAGTTTGGTTGAAAGGGAAAAGAACAGCATAAACATTAGAAGGGGTAAAACAGTAATATAGATATATATAGATATAGATATATAATTAAAATTACTGACTGTATGATAACATATTATATTACTGACTGATTGATAATATATAAACGGTCAGTAATATATCATATATTGTTTAATACCTATGTTTTATGATTTACCACCATAAGAACTTCTCTAAAAGCATAAAATCAAAAGACGATTACATGTGTAGGCTAATTGTTTTTGAGGTTATGTCCTTATAAATTATGTTGGTAGCCTAAAGTCTCCGGCTCTTTAGATATATATATATAGCCAATTATACCTGAATTACTGTTTAGATTTATTATTCATATTATATTCAAGTATGTTTTTCTTTAATAAGATAGTATACTGTCGGTTTACTTTTTATGATGAGTTTATCGGCGATGCCTAACAAAATTATACTTAAGCATATTCTTAATTACATTCATTTTGCCTATTTATTTATTTCTCGATCAAGCGTTAATCTATAGGCTATAGGCCAAATATACAGAAAAAGTATGTTTTGCATAGGTCTACTTGTATCTACTTGATCTGTTGATAGAGATTTAAAAAATAAAAAAGTGTAATTAAATATTGTAAGTATACTTTTAAATATTATCTTGAAATATTTAAATCAGTTTTTTGGTAAAAAAAATATTTAAGATTAATCAAATGTTATGCTAAGAAAACAAGTCAGCTTTGGGTTGAAATTGCTTTCCTTACAAAGTTCATTTTATTAATAATAATAACATAACATTTTATTAATATTAAGTAGGCCTAAATTTTTTTTAACTAAAAACAGCGATTTTAAAACTAATAAACTTGAACATGTAAGTTTACAAGATATGTAAAACATACACTGGAGTACCTCAAAGAAACCAATATGTGTGAAAAAAAAAACAACTTCAAGCCAAGTATACTTAGAATATGAATTGTTTTCCTTACAATGTAGTAAAGTTTCTAGCATATTTTCCAAGTATACATTATGTAGTAAGTATACTAATATCAATGCATTAATACTTAGTTGGTCAACTTTTTAGTTTGCTAAAATAACTATGTAGTGTACTTTAAGTGTAGCAGTAGTAAACTTTGAGCAAATAACTATTTTATATCTTTTTCTTATACTGCAAATAAGTAAACTTCACATCATACTTAGTACATAATTTGCTATATATATTTTTTGCAATTTTAAGTATGCACTGAAAAGAAAAATGGAGTGTGTGTTCAACAAAAATATGAGGCAATATCCAATATATAGGTCTATTGAATATTGACAGTACACATGTATACTCCAATGATAATACACTTGAACTAAAAGTATACTTCTTTTTTGTAAGGCAAGGCCAATATAAGTATACATTTGGGAATACTAAGAATACATTCACCTCTGTGTGAAGCATGCTATTCATTTAAATGTGATATCAGAAAGATTAAATCATTAATTTTAAAGGAAGAAATAATGCAGCTAAAAGGATTGAAAAGAAAATGAGAGAACTTAAATGCATTAAGCATTCTAAAAAAACTACATAGTATAACATTTAATTCAACAAAAGACAAATGTACATGTAATTAGATTTTCTTTATTATATGTTATTAAAATGTATGATGATGAATGAGGAAATGCAAATTGGCTGATTTTCTATCAAATCATTTCTAAATTTGTATCCTGTTATGACAGTAAATCCGTCCAGCACATCCTAGTGTAGAAAAACATACTGGAATACAAGCTTTACAAGATTTATAAAGTGAAAATAACTAGCCTATAGTCTATTATGGGTGCTTAAGTTCACTATTATGGTGAGAAACTTTTGAGAGCTGGGAAACGTCCTTCAGGCCCTGAGTGAAGAAAACCATGAGGTTTATGCACTGATGGTCCTCATCTCACTCAGAGAGTTCTTTAGCATTTATATTCCCATCTTTCCAAACACCGTGTGCAATTGTGTATTTTCTCTGCCTTATCCATTAAAACAAGACATTTGTTAAAGAACCGTATGCAAAACACAGTCAAATATTCAAACCACTTCATGCTTGATAATGGTGAGAGGCTTTCAAAATGAAAATACGCTCTAGAAAAAAAAGGCTATTTGGCACCCCGCCTGTGTTTGTCTGAAGGAGACCATTTAGGAGACCACTTGCTGATTTCAATGCTCAATCTCATCAGTTCTTTTGCATTGTTGTGAAACAGTTTTCTGGTATAGCTGTTTAATGAATCCACTGCATAGTGCATACCAGATGGTGGAGGTTGATGTTCTGTATCTGATGTCTCAAAGCACCAGCAGAAAGGAGCGGGACAGTCTCTCTTTGCCTACTCAGATCCAGGGGACTTATAAAGATATTCTCTGCTTTGCATATAACCTAATCATAACTCTTTGGTTTCACGGCTTGAGGCGCTGAGTAGAACAACTTGAGCATATGGTTGGGAGAAAATGTGATGCATGTTATATAACACAGTCAAGAATTATCCACAAGTTTGCTTTGATTTTCAGGCAACTGTATAAGGTTTTAGATAAGATTTTGTGATTTCAGGTTATGCAAAAATGCTAAATGAATGCATTGGATAATGGACGCATAAGAAAAATATGCTGAAGTATGCTCCATATGACACATACCTTAATACTAACTATGATATACATATGAATCATGTAATGAATCATACAGCCTACATATTTTACAGATATAGTACCAAACTGTGTCTAATTGAAAAACAAACAACGCATTTTCATTCTCTTCAAGTTCACGCTGTCTCACGCTATAAAATCCAATTATCTTCACTGCAGAAAAATAATAAAAACACCATGTCTCATATGAGCCGCTCCGGGGCAAAATCCATCACCAAAGCGTTTGGCAATAATGAGCACAAGATGGCAGGCTAGCCCGTAAAATGGTTTCATGGAACAGATTCACATCGAAGCCTCGGGAGAAATGTATAGGGGTCGTGAACCTAGGCTGGCTTTGGATTGGTCGCTCCGAGTGGTCAGGGCACAAAGTCAGCCAATGGGTGCCATCCCCGACAGCTGCGTCAAAGTGGTCTGAAGCTGATATCACGGATGTCTGGAAATCTGTGGGGCCGTTTCAGGTAACGTGGAGTAGAAGTAGCCTAGCGAGTTTAAAACCACAGTCAAACAGTCAGTCGTGCTAATGGTGTGCCTCTGATAATGTCAGTCACGACACAAGACGAGCTAGAGGGGAATCTGAATGAGACTCTTCATAGGTTAAATATATTAATTTAATTAGCAGTTACCTAGGATAATGTGACATTCAAATCTTAAAAAACATGCCGAAGTCAGACTCGTCTGTGTCAAGTTGTTGCAGACAGATCATGCGTCACGTGTTTATATCGACTATGCACTGACGTCATCATATACAGCTGCGTTCCCAAGGACCTCACCTGTGACCTTTGAAGACATCACAGGTTAAGGGTCTCAGGGACACAGACATACACTGCTTCTAATTTAAAATCTTCAAAGGCAAGGCTGAAATTCCCACTTTGGATCCGTCTGCATGTAACATTACTTAAAAGTTAATTAAAAGGATCAGGGCAAGTTTTTCCACAAATTGCACATTATAGACAAAGAAGATTTTTATTGCAGAGTCACAGTTACATATACAAAAGTAATTAAGGCCACAGATCTTTATTATTTTTATGTAATAATAAACATAAAATTTACCATATCTTAAGCTGTAGTAAAAGTTAAATATACTGAATAAAAATATTAACGTCTTAAAAAAACCTTACACTTAGTGAATATATATATATATATATATATATATATAATTTCAAATAAATATATTTATATATACGAATATATATTTCAAATAAATGCTCTTTTTTATTACCGTTTCCAAAAATATTAACTGTAAAGTTAACTTTTTTAACTGTATTTTTGATCAAATAAATGCAGTCTTGGTAAGCATAAGACTTTAAAAAAAAAAAAGATTAAAAAATCTTTCCGACCCAAAGCTTTTAAACGGCAGTGTGTGTGTGTGTGTGTCTATATGTCTATATATCTATATCTATATCTTTCAATATAAATACATATACATGCACTGCATTATACATACCGCATACTAATCTTGGATGACGACACGTCTTTACCTTCCTCCTTACCGTTGTCAGATTTGACAAAAGAAAAAGTAAATGCATCACTCTCACAATGACGGTTTCTTCTCCAAATCAAGTGACGTCTCTAAATCTTCTGAGGTTGCGACCTGTGGCAAACAGAAGCAAATTTTAACACATTACACTAATTTGAACCCTCAGGAATTAACAGCAATCCCCTAACGAGAATGGAAAAATTAAGACTTGGCATCAGCGCCGTAAACGAGTGCGCAGTTAGTTCTGTCAGGCCCCCTGGTGGCAGACACTGAGTATGACACTTGAACCAAATGAACCCAAAAACAGATATGCACTGCCAGCAAACTGTC